ACGGGGCCGGGAGCGGGATGATCCCTGCTCCCTCGCACTCCCCTGGGGCTCCCCTCATTAAAACCCTCGGGAACGCTGAGCAACGTGCCAGCCCTTCCTACACACCCCATAAAGCCGGCAAGCAATTATATCCACTGATGGGATCCATGCTGGGAGAGCTCAGAGAGGCTCAGAGAGGCAGCAAAAGCAGGTCTGCGTGAATCCACATGCCTGAGAACATCACATGGATCTCACGGATGCTCCTTCCCCTTGCAGGTCGTGTCCTTCCATCTCCTGCATCTGCGGGCTGCAGGGATAAAGAGCTGCTGGGATTTAAGGCTGGCATTCGCTGCTTCCTGCAGGAAAGGGCAGCTGGCAGGTGGATGGCATGGAAGGAGCTGCTTCAGAGCCTCGGCAGGCACTCGGCTCACTGGACCATGTCCCTGGGGCTCTGAGGCTCTGAGCCCTTCCCTGCAGGAAAGGAGCTGTCTGGGACAGGAGCTAATGGAATTGGGAAATGCTGGGAGCACAGCATAGCCTCAGGCATGTGGGAAGCAATTCCAGGCACCTCCAAGTGGTTGGAGTTTCCAGGACAGCTGAATTCAGAGGGAGGTTTTTGGGGCCAGGCTGGGCCCCTTGGCTGGGGAGATAAATCCAGGAATACACTTTAATTCCAAACCTATAACCCAACCACAGGACTTGGCCAGCCTGAGGTGACCTCCAAGGCTGTGATATTTCCATAGATTCCTCCTTTCCTTCAGTGATGCCTTTGTGACCCAGGAACCCCCCTGATCCTACAGGTGCCAGGCAAGACACCCCAGGGTTTGGACACCCCCTCTTCTCACTCCATCACCCCCCGATCAACATCCCCCCCTTCCCAGGTGACAGCAGCAGTGGGATGGAGACAAACCTTCCCCCTGCTCTTTCTCCCACCCATCCCACCCTATTTACAGCTCCAGTGGTGGAGCCAACACACGGAGCAGTGGTTGGTCTCCTCTTCCTCTTCCCACACAGTGGCCGCTGTGCCGATAACAAAGCCAAGGAGGAGCCAACCCAGGGCTCTAAAGTGTGGAGGGGGTTTCTCTCTCTCAAATCAAAGTCCACTAATAACGAGGAAAACATTTAATGGGAGGCTGGAAGGGGTTTCTCAGGATCCAGAGGGGATTAGGGATGATCTCCAGGGCTCATGTCTTCCTGCTGCGCAGCGGCGGCGCCGACCTGCACCTGCCAGAAGGGTTCCGGGTGAAGAGGGAGGCAGAGCTGGGACACCCAGCCCTGGGGGACCTGAGATTGTGGATTCTGTGGGAAGGAAAGGAGACATGACTTTAGAATCCCCGACTTTGAAGCTGCTGCTTGTGTTTAAGAGCCTTGATTCGGTCTTATACCATCAAGGCTTCCCCTTGCGGGGGGGAGAGGGGGGCCCAGTTTCTGCTGATGTGAGAAGGGGAGTATCTTTCCATCCAAATTCGGCCAAACAGATCCTCTGCCAGTTTGCAGAGTGGGATTTGTTCCAGCAGCATCACAGCTCCTGCTCTGGGATGAAGCTAAACTGCTAAACAGGAATATTGCACCACACGGGTCCCTCAAGGACCAGACAGGGAATGTGCTGCCCTCAGAGATCCTGGAGTAAACAGGCAGAGAAAGGCTTGATCCACAACATATTCCCTGCTATCCCTGCAGCCATCCCACCCTCTGTGCCCACTCCCAGAACACCAGCACCTTCCCTGGCTGCCACAGGCACAGAAGCAAAGTTTCCAGGAGTTGCACATGACTCCAGGAGGAAGCAAAGGTTTGGATGTGGCCCTGCTAGAGCTGCTGACCCCCTGCAGCCAGCTGGGAAGCAGGACTTACACCTTCTCCACCTGATCTCAGCCAGGCTGGCACTACAGAGAGCTGCAATGGGCCCAGGGAGCCAAAAGTCACGTGGAATATCTTGGAACAGTGTTTGGATTTTAGGAAGTCATGATCTCATTGTGCATCTCCCGGGAGCGGCCAGAAAAGCATCCTCATGGGTGAAAATTTTGCTTCCAAATTATTCACTCAGCTCTGGGAGCAGGAAACTCATTCCTCCTGGGTTTGTATTTCTGTCAAATGCTGTATAATTCTCTTTTCTTAGTGCTTTTATGCTGGTTTGACACCACTGATTTATGTGTAGCTACTCCTAATCTGTGGTAGTGCAAGGGAAGGCTGTCCTAGATTCCCAGATTTTAGAGCTGCTGACTTCAACTAGTTTGCCTCTCTCTCAGGTATTGCTTCAAGGGGGGGTTCTAGAATGTTCTTGACCACCCACATCAGATGATTTCTCCCCCACCTCCATTCAGATTCCGGCTTTGCAGGCTTTGAGCTCTGGGTTGCAGCTTTGCCAAGTGTTCCCTCCTGCCTCCACCTTCTCCCACCACTTCCCAGAGGGTTCTTTGCTCTTCCCCAGCTCTTTAAGGTCTTCCCAACTCCCCCACATTTTATGTCATCAGGAAACTTGGACACTTTTTATGCTGTGCCTCCCTCAAGGTCACAAATTTCAAAGGGGACTCAGGTACCAAGCGCAGAGTGCTGCGTGTTCCCTTTTCCCAGCTTTTTCCCTGATCTCTGCTCTCTGTTCCTGTGGGGTTAATTAATCTTTTCCAAGGCCTCCTCAACTTAAGCTGAGTGGTAGCTCCTGAAAAAAAAAACCCACCAAAATTTAGCTCCTAAAAATACCCAGGGAAGACAACCACGCCGGGATTCAACGGTGCAGAAGTGC